GCTACCTACTCGTATGTCCGTGACATCCAACCAGTGGTGTGTTTTGGTACAGTCGTTTGGTCTGATAGCTCGCCTTTCCTGCCGTGACCGGCATTGCAGAGGATTTTAAAATTTACATCTGGGCGGATATGAAGACCCTCAAACCTAGTCGACTTGAGTGCAATTTACTCACCATTCCGTCGTGATAGGGTTGATCAAGTCAACGTTTATGAGTTATCCAACTGAGCTCGAGATGGTTATTTCCGAATCTGAAGGTTGTTTTTACATAATTTGTAGAAGGGACGTTTTTTTTCTTATAAATTCAAATGGTGTATATAAACATAGTTTTCTGATGAGCTACTCCACTTTATTCAGTAGTGCGAGTTAGTTCGTAAGTGGCGACACGTTCAGGAGTCGGAATCGATCGTAGCAAGTTGATCAGGTACAGATGAACGACATATTGTTCTCGCCGTCTTCGGTTTGAATTTGTGGTCGATTTGTATGACTGGTAAACTGTTGAACCCACCATAGACAAGAACTGAGTATGCAACCGCTCCAAACCTGGTTGTGAGTAGCACCAAATGAAGGCGATTTTGTGCTCATAAGCCTTGTCAGAGAGATGGACTCCATGGAGTTTAAGGATGACTTTTTGTAAGTCTGTAAGCAGGATGCTTATCCAAGCTGCAGACTCTAGAAAGTACCAAAAAGCTCAGAACTAGCTGCGATAATGTGTTTAGACATGAACAACTAAGCTGAGGGTTAAAAAATCCATAAACAACTACCAGTGTCACCTCAGTTCAAAAGTTTCAATAATTCCTTAGGTCTGCCACTTAGTCGAAAGTAAAAATTCAGATTGGAATTTTCGTTAGCAATGTAAAACGCCCTGAAACGATGAGAAGAGATTCACGTAGAAAAACGTACCAACCGCAAAGAAAAAAATTAACATACAGTGATTTCGGCTTGTTGGCCTAGATCTGATCGGATCCGTTCAAATTCGGCCAGGACTTCGGGTGAACCAGAATTCGGAAGAGTGAAAATGAGCGTCGTTGGTGAGCAAAGGTTCAAGGTGACGAGTCGGTCACCCCAGAGCCATACATCATCCAGATGCGGAACAATGGATGCACCCCGCTCCGGGCAGTACTCCAAATTGCACAGCTCTACTGGGATGAAGGTTTGGCGCACAAGGGAGGTCTGAAGTGTTTGATTGATACGATCCACTAAGAAGCGGCTATACGATGGTAAGCCAGTGAAACGACCAGGCACGACTCGTTGTCGTTTGAAATTGACCTTGGGACCGTAATCCTGACGCAAAACATGGTAAAGAATGTGTAGCTGTCACATTCGACCATCGAAATAGACGATAACCCGTTAACTGTTTCCTATTTGACGAGGTGAAAACAAAATGAAATATAGCTTCCGAAACTATTATGGACGTTTTCAAGGAGAGGCCCAAGGTACGTCGCTTCCAGTTCATAAACTTTCGTTGATCAATAATAGTGAGAATGTGGGAGAAACGGCGATGCATGGACAGCCAATCCAGTTCATTGGCGTTGAATCGCTCTAATCTGTTGGGAACCGAAATAGCTATGCAGTGAAAATGACAGCTTAGATATTGCTGTGTAGTTGGGTCATTTTCATCACTAATCACTATCGTGCTCCGCATAAAAATTTCTACCCGATGAAACAAAAGTCGACAACGCGACTGAAACTGTTGGTGAACTTTTTGTATTTCGTTTTAGGCTGACCAACAAAGCCCTTGCCAGTCCGGAAGAAAGGACTCTACAAGTTACCATTTCAGCAGCAAATCATGTATAAGTTGTAGGATGGCTGTACCTGCCATAGTTTCGTTCACTGATGATCTTGGAAAGTAGAATTCGACAGCTGTTGTTTGAGGACAGTAGGTTACATCGTTGAACCAAGACTAAAGGCGACAGTGACATCTGGCGCTCAACATACGTTGTCTTACCAATGAGGCTCTTGGAGTGTGACCATCTTTTTATCACGATGGCTGCCTCCACAGCTCATCTGCTAATCTTACATTTCCACCAGATTCAGATTACGCTTTGGAAACACCAGACGTCAGACCGAAAGGCACAAGAATAACCTCTTGTGCTATTAAACTAGTGTGAATCACACTGACGAAGTGTATGGCGGATCAACAACCGTTTCCGGATTCGTTCGTCACACTAAACTTCATCGATGGGATCCGATTCATAACATGTGGTATCAAATGCGGCTTGCGCCGCATCGCATGTACAATCAACTGGAAGCCCATTAACCGATGTACTCTATAACCGTCAGTATTGCCAAACGATGACAGTCGAAACCTAGAGTATCATTGTTAATACGTACTCTGTCCTTGACACAGGCTGCCACGGACGCCATAGGTGACCTGACAAAAACCACTCTGGACTTCCCAGTTCGAGAATTGGTTTAATCCTTCGCAGGGTAGGTTGCTTAGGTTTAGATTTGATTTCAGTAAACCATGCAACGATGCTTCACACTGTGCAGGCAGGAAGCACATTTCAAATCACAAGGCACAGTCATATGCAATTACCCCTGTAGAACACTTTTACTTACGAAAAAGCATATTATTTTGAAAGACCTGGAACTTTACTGTCATATTCAGATCTATATGAAACGCTCCAGTCGGAATTCGTAAACCACAGCAGAACCTCTAGAACTCTATTTGGATCTAAATATGATTAGGATAGATAGCACGATGTGGTACTACTACCGACGAAGTAAAACCTACCAACCTGCTTACGCCTTCCGGACTGAGACAGTGCCCATGGATTTTGGTCTATTTGGGCCAGCAACCAGGCTTCTTCCTCTTTTGTTACAAAATCTGACACCACGGAGATACCCTGAAAAGTAAATTCTCCACACGCTGGTGAACCGTGACATTGGTGTGAACCCCGATAGCAGAGAGCACAGTCACTGCAAAAGGTAGACTCGAATTGAGGTAGATGATCCTGTCAACCAAATAAGTATAATGTGAAAACTACATACCCAGGTAAGCGGATTATTAGGCTGACAAATTTTGCATGTCCGAACACCTTTACATCCACACAAAGGTGTATTCTCCGATGCAAGTGACTGCAAAGTGAAAGGGTAGAATAAATAACAGTTCGAGGAAATATAATGGAAGATTCTACATACCTGCTCACTACTCCTCTTCATCATCATCATCATGGGAAACACATCAGTGTTCAATATCAGTGCTTCGCTGTCGTACTACATGATCTATTTAAAAGCCTTATTGTGAAGAACAGAATGAAGGTAGACAGGGCAGGGGCTTAGTACTTGCCTAACACAACCACTCCGAGGTGCCTGCACCTCTAGACACTCATTCAGACAATCTGGATAGAAATAATAATAATAAAATAATAATAATAAATAATAATGATAATAAAAATAAAATAAATAAATAAGATTAAAATAAATAA